TACAAAACCCACGAGACACAATACACACCGAGAAACCAGTGAACACAGTCCACTGAGAACAGGGAACAACGAAACCAAGAACCATTTTCTGGAACCAAACATCATCAAGCCAAGATACAAACAAGAAAAACCATCATCAACGGTGAGGCCGAAGCCCCTCAGGAAACAAAAGTCACACACAAAAATACAAAAAAACAACAAAGAGCCGAGCAAAGCGAGAAGCAAGAACGCCGGGGAAGTGAAAGACCTCGCCGGAAGAAATAAAGGTCGAGACTTTCGGTTTAGATCTACACCGATTGACAAGGTTTTTGGGGTTTTGGGCTTCAGAATCGTGTTTAGGGTGGCTAGAGGAGCATTTTGAGGGTAGGTTAGATTTTCCGGCCACCACCGTCGGTGGCCAGAGCGGCGACGGGCGGTGGCGGCGGGCGGATGTAGAGAGAAGCCAGAGAACCAAAGGCTCTCTCTTTTAGTAGAGAGAGAAGGCTATTGTTGAGAATGAAGAGAGTTAGGCCATTTGGCCTTGATATCATATATTTATCCAGGATCCAAAACGGTGCCGTTTCACCTAGGGGTCTTCTGCGTATTTTTGCACATGGGTAAACTACAACCGCGATCCCTGTAAGCTGTATCTTCTTCATTTTGGCCATTGAATTTAATGTTTTAATTTGGATTTCGGATTTATTAAAATTTTCATTTTAGTCCCTTTTATTTATTTATTTATTTAATTATTTATTCATTTACCTAGATATGTATATACTTTTCGGTTAATTTCTTTTTTTCGTTTTACAATAATTAATTTTTTTTACTTCAATTTCACTTTAGTTTGTTTTATCGTATTTCATCATTATTTTATCTCTATTTAATTTTTTATTATTATTTTGTTATTATTTTTTTATTTTTTAGTTACAATATTATTTTGGTATCTTATTTATTTACTCACTATTATTATTAGTATTATTATTTTCTTTTTTTAGATGTATTTAATTTTCATCTTTTGTCATTATTATTTTTAACATTTTCGTTTTTTTTTTTTGATTTCCAATTAATCAAAGGTAAGTAATGCGGTTCGAACCAAATATTTGAATTTTATTTTATTTTCCAATTTTTGCAATTAAAGACAATCAACAATTTAATTGGTACCGAAAGGACGGTTCAAGGGTGCTAATCCTTCCTTGACCGTAATCGACTCCCGAACCCGACACGTTTCTGGTACAACGCAGATCAGGTAAGATGGTGTCCGACCCACCTAAATTCGTTTTAAAGTGGTCGGTGGCGACTCCAACCAAATTCATTTAATCCAAGTCGAAGCCCGATTCAGGGGCCGGGGCCCAATCGAGAGACGGTTACGACAATGTAGTAGCGAAGGGCAGTTCAAGGGTGCTAACCCTTCCTTGATTGTAACCGACTCCCGAATCCGATATATCACTGGTAAGATGTAGATCAGGTAAGAAATAAGGTATTCGATCAATTTATTTATTTTTAAATAAATGATCGGCGGCGACTCCTAATCCATTTTGCTAAGTCGAAGCCCATTTTTGAGCCCACCCGAAAGATGGTTCCGACAACTATCATCAATGATTTTGCATCAAGAAATGGTCGAAGGCAATGTTTTTTTATAAGTATTTATATGCTTAAATATGTTTTTGATATTTTTGGGATGGTAATGAATTAATATTTATTTAAATTATTAAAAAAATTAATTAAAATTTTATATTACATATTTTTAAATTTCTTTTAAATTATGGCTCATTTTTTTTAATTTTATCCCGAGTCAAGAAAAGTTAGGACCGACCCTGCTTGTTATTAATAGGTCGATAGATTATGCATATGTGGTTGTCAACTATCATATTCGACTGTTAAAGGTTATGTTAAAGATTGAGTATAGACTCTGGAGAGCTATTCCAATGAAGAAATTTTAGAAGGTGATGTGATATTTTTTTAGGAATTCCTGAAGACTTTGCTTAAAGAGTAAAATACTCCAGATGTCTTTACTGAAGAAAAATTTATAATTTATGGAGTATAACAGAGGCATAATGTAATAAAATAACCTTAATGTATGATAATATTGTTAAATTTGTCCGTATTGATTTTTTTAGAACATTTGATCACTCAATGTTTTATTTTAGGTCAAAAATAATCGACGTTGAATGAAAGTCGTTAGTCAATTGACGATCAACGCTTAATACTGACGAAGCATGTACACATGGAGGGAGATGCTGACGTGGCTATCCAGATCATGGTACATGATGACATGGCACTGCCATGTCAGAATTTTTAAATAAAATATAAAATATTTTTATTATTTATTATCAATCAGAGAGTGACACGTGATACTCTCTAATTAATGTTTGTTTAATGCAACGATTAATAGTTAAATTGCATATGAGGGGATTCAAACTTGGGAAAAATTGTGAAATGACATGGCTTTTACCACCAGACCAGAATGCTTATTTGGATAAATAATGAAACAAACCTTATTTAATAGATACTTAAATTTGTATTTAGTGAAAAAAATAAAACACGTGTCGCTAGTTTGGTTTTCCCCTACACACGCTTAATGCTGGATTTCTCTTCATATCAAGCTTCTGTCTCTTTCAATGAACCCAAAACAAAGTAAAATAATGTGAGAACCCAAAACAAAGTAAAATAATGTGAGAACCCAAAGAACCTGACAACTTTACTCGAAATTTTACTCCCTACTGTCTCTCTCAATGAGAAGTGAAAGAATCTGAGAACATAAAGAACCCAAAAAACCCAAAACAAAGATTGAGAAAAAAATGGTTACTTGCCATGTTCCTTCAATCAAATATGCAGAGCACCACAACCAAACCAAGCTCTTTTCATCATTGCTAAATGCTAGAGTCGAAAACCAGCTTGAAATGAAGCCTCGAATCATTCATATTACTGTTATTGATGCTGACGCCACTAATTCCTCTAGCGGCGATGAAGAAGGAAAACCAAGAACTTGAGTTTATGCTATTACAAATCTCATTTTTCTCTCCCAAAAATGCAGACCTCAAATTGCTGAAAACACTAGAAAGAAGTAATCTCCATCAAATCATAAACAAAACATTGCCTTAAATTAGTGAATTATGTAAATAGATTTTAATTTTAGAAGCACGACTAAAGTTTTCCCCTTTGCAGTTCAAAAATTTCTCAGAATTAGATTATACAAATTCCAGAGCACCATAACTTCACAAAATAGCAACATTCCGCTCCAAAATGAAGTGAATAAAACGAACCCATTAAAAAGAAAAGCTCCATTAACAATTTTAAAGGTTAAAATATATTCTTAAATTCAACAACAATAAAAAACATTAAAACAAGGAAAATTAGCTTAAAAAATGGGGAGGAAATCACGTAAACCCATATATCAAAACACCCAATAAATTTTGAGACTAAATACCCAATTTAACATAACCAAAAACGAAAGGGAAATATTGCTTTGGGGATCTAACCTGGCATGTAAAGATATAATCGAAAAACCACTTTTCATCAGCTCTGGCCTTTCACTGGCGAAGCGAAGAAACAAAGGCGGGTTTATCCACAATGATTGTATTGAAGATCAGAGATGGTTTTTATTTCTATTAAAAAAGGTTTGTTTCAATATTTAACCAAATAAGCATATTGGTCTGATGGTAAAATCCATGTCATTTCACCCAAGTTCGAATCCCTCTTATGCAATTTAACTATTAATGGTTGCGTTAAACAAATACCAATGGCACTCTCTGATTGTCAATAAATAATTAAATAATAATTTTTATATTTTTTTAAAAAATATGATATGTCAATGCCACATCATCATGTACCATGACATTGATAGCCACGTTAACATCTTCCTCCACATGTATGTGCTTCGTTAGTATTAGGTGTTGACTGTCGGTTGACTAACGATTTTCATCCAACGTGAGTTATTTTTTTACTTAAAATGAAACGTTAAGTGGTCAAATGTTCCAAAAAAAATCAATACAGACAAATTTGACAATACTGTCAAACGTTTGGGTTATTTTGTTACATTATGCTTATAACAGATAATAAAACATAATAAATTATATTAAAAATTAAATTTATAAAATCACTTACGTTGTATTTTTATTAAATAATAATACAAAATTAAAATTACTATTACATAGTTTATTCTATAAATAAAATGGCTAATCAAATTGGTATTATCAATTAATTTGATATCAATTCAATTAAATTTCTTAAAACTACTTTAAATTTTTTTAAAATATAATTAATGTTATTATTGTTCATAGGAATAAATTTAGCTCATCCACAATTGACGATTAACCACTTCAAACAAGATCTCTACATGTCTTAGTGACTTATCATTATAAAATTCAAAGTATGATCATCAGATATTTTTAATCTAACAACTTACAAATAATCATCATCATCCTACAACGGACACGCACTAAAAGTCATAAATATCTAATCGAGATTGGAAAGGGGTTGACTCCCTGCAACCTCAATGATCCTCCCATCGTCTTCTTTAACATATTTATTTTCTCATTTACCCCTATCAATGATCATTTCTCATTTACCCCTATCAATGATCATTTTTCTATCGACTACAACTCTTAATCTAACTTAAAAGGATGAACAGTCAAAGTCAAATTTATTGCTATCAACAATTATAATTTTTTTTCTTTATTTTTGATACAAAATAATTAAAAAATATAATTTAAGATTAGTATATGAGATCAATAAATTTATATAAAGTTATCTTCCTAAGAAGAAGAAGAAACTGCAACCGAGCATGCCTATTAATCCGGATAACCAAATTTTATGTTATTGGGATTCTGGATTTAGCATCGGAATATACCAAAGAAAGGCCGTATGAACTGTTCTTGAGAGCATGATTGAACCTAATCGACCTAGAAAAAAGTGATTAACATTACCAAAATCAGCACTGCAGCAGAGCCGGAATACGTATGAATTATGATACATGAGAAAACTATCAAACCCAAAGCATTCCCCGAGACTAACAATATCTGCTAAAGCAAGTCCTGCACAAGTTTCCCAAAGTGAAACTTGCCATTACAACATCCCACAGCATTCACCACTTGTTGAAACGTAGACACGCTGCAGGGAGCAATCAACTTATCCCTTTGTTCGAAACCATATTCGTTGTACGACTTGTCCAGCAACATCTTGAACAGCGGATGAGACAAGAAGCTGGTCGGCACTACAAACCTTTCACCATCCTCTCCTACGTAAACTGCAAAAAACCCCGACGGAGTTGACGCCGAAGGCGACATTTGCTCGAATTCTCTAAGCAAGCATTCGTATTGCGATTGCTCGCCGCCGTCATTGTCACCTCCAGAGGCGTGGCAGAGCCGGCGCATACTGCGCGACGGCGCATACTACGCGACGGCGCAGGGCCCTACAAAAATAGGGGCCCTAAAATACTGATGTAAAAAAACAAACATTTGACCTTTGGGAACACGAAAACGTCGACTTTTTAATATATTTGGTGTAATACAGCTGTACTGCTGATTAATATAATACTGCATTTAATGCTTTGCTATTATTCCAGCTTTTCAACGCATGTGATTTCCAGCTTTTAACTGTTTTGCATGTGATTTTCAACTTTTCAATTGCTTTGTTTCCAGCTTTTCAATTATAATATTATTTAACAAAGGAAAAAACACATATTTCCTTCTTATTATAAACGCATGTTTCCTTCTTATTATTTCACAGACTTCGATTCTTCGTTCTTAATTCTTACGTATTTTCCCAAATTCAATCTCTTTACTAATTTCAATTTTGAGAAATTGAATATTCCATTTCTAGGAGAAATTAAAGAGATGGGTATTACTTCTTTTTAATTTAATGGTTCAACCTTTTTTTCTTAGTTGTATTTGTAATTGTAACTGATTAAATTTTGTGCTTTTTAGTTCTTATTATTGTATATAAATTACAGATTTGATGATGTTAATTTGAGGAGAGTTGCCGACTGCAAGTTGAACTCAGAACTCTTGTGCTATCTTATCTCACTCTGATTTGTTTTTTATTTGTGTTGTGTTGATTTTGTGGTTGTTTTTGCTTTGTGTTGATTTTCTTCAATATGATTCGAAAATATCAATCTGGATATAAAAAGCGTCAAAAAACTAAAAGAGTAGAACAATTAATTCAGTCTCAAAAAGGTGCTTTGGATAAGTTTTTTTTAAAGGATACCCAAGTAGTAGAGGAAAATGATGTTAATTCTCACTCTCGGGAATTAAATGGAACTAATGTTGATGGTGAGAATGTTGAACAAGAGGAAATTGTGGATGGTGTTGTTAATAAGGAGAATGCCAATATTTCCCATAATTCTGAACAAAATATGGACCATAATTCTGATCATACTAACCGCAATATTGAACAAAATGAATCTGTTTATGTTGACATATATGATCCAAGAAAATGGGATTCTCTTGAGTCTAAATTAATTGACATTTTGGCTATAAATGGCCCCAAAAGAGACTTGAGCATTGTGAAAGGCCCCAAAGACAAATTTTCTCGTAGATTTTCTTCAACCTTTTATACAAGATATTTGTCGAATGGTGAAAATTGTGATAGGGAATGGCTTGTTTATTCGAAAGAGCTCGACAAAGTGTTTTGTTTTTGTTGTAAGATTTTTAAAAAGGGTCCTGGTCCTGGGAAAGGTAATTTAATAAATGAAGGATATAATAATTGGATGCATCTTAGTACCAGACTTACAGAACATGAAACAAGTATTGACCATGTACTAAACATGGCAACTTGGTGTGAACTTAGGCATAGGCTGCAACAAAATGAAACAATTGATAAAGTTGCTCTAGAACAATTCAAGAAAGAAAAAGAGTATTTAAAAATGTAATTATTAGAATTATTGTTATTGTGAAGTATCTTGCTAAAAATAACCTAGCATTTCGGGGGGGGGGGGGGAATGCTAGATTATATCAAAAGAGCAATGGAAATTTTTTGGGTTTGATAGAAATGTTGGTTGAGTTTGATCCTGTAATGATCGAACATGTTCAGTGTATTACTAGTGGTAAGATTCATCACCATTATCTGAGTAATGACATTCAAAACGAGTTGATACTTTTGCTTTCCTCCAAGATTAGATCTATTATTATCAATAGAATAAAAGAAGCTAGATATTTTTCCTGTGATGTTGGATTGCACACCAGATGTTAGTCACCAGGAACAAATGACTCTAATTATAAGGTGTGTTGATGGCTCTTCTAATACTTTTAAAATTGAAGAATTTTTTATCGAGTTCTTACAAGTTAATGATACAACTGGCCAAGGGCTTTTTAAAGTGTTAGAAGATGTGCTTAAATCTCATGATCTTGATATAGATAATATTAGAGGTCAAGGATATGATAATGGGTCTAATATGAAAGGTAAACATCCAGGTGTACAAAAAAGACTATTAGATTTGAATCCTAGAGCTTTTTATACTCCATGTGGTTGTCATAGTCTTAATTTGGTTTTGTGTGACATTGCAAACACTTCAAATAAAGCAAGGGATTTTTTTGGATTAGTTCAACGCGTATATACTATATTTGCTAGTTCAACAAAGAGGTGGGATATTTTAAAACATTATGTGAAGAGTATACTCCCAAATCACTGTCAGTCACACGTTGGGAAAGTCGAATTTATAGTATCAAAGCAATAAGATTTCAAATTGTTGAATTAAGGGAAGCCTTACTTGAAGTAGCTACTGTTGATATTGATTCTAAAACTCAGAGTGAAGCAAAATCTTTAGCAACTAATGAGCTTGGTAGTTTTGAGTTTTACTATCTACAATCATTTGGTATGACATTTTATCTGTTGTGAACAAGGTTAGCAAATATCTACAGTCAGAAAATATGGTGATTGATATTGCTATGTGTGAGATAAAAGGATTGATTTCCTTTTTCAGAAATTATAGAGATGTTGGATTTTCAAATGCCATGGACCTTGCAAAAAAAATTAGCCATTGAAATTGGAGTCAACCCTATCTTTCCTCAAAGGTGTATAATACGTAAAAAAAGACAATTTGATGAGGTTGATAGTGAGGAGACATCATTATCTCCAGATGAATCATTTAGAATTCAATATTTTATCTACATTGTTGATCAAGCTATTTCATCATTGAAAAAGAGGTTTGAACAATATGAATTATATGAGAGTGTTTTTGGATTTTTGTTTACTTCTGAAAATTTGCAATCAATGGATGACATTAAACTCCAATCATGTTGTAGTCACTTTGAAAATGCTCTTAGGAGAGGTGAGTTTTCTGATTGTGTTGAAACATTTTAATATTTCGATATAACAAATTAAGTTAAATGGATTTTAAGATTTTCCAAATGATTTTCTAAGTATATTCGATATAACTATTCGAATATCAAAACATTACTCCAAACATTTCAAAAATCATTTTTGATCCTTACTTAAGTGTAAAATTAAGTTTTAATCATAAAACAATTTCAAAATATTTTACAAAGTATTTCGAACCAATTCAAAGCCAAAAATTCCAGAATACTCAGAGGGAACCGATTCCCCCCCATAGGAGGAACCGATTCCCCCCTGAATGGTTTGGCTCCGAGATTTCCAGAATGCTCGGAGGGAACCGATTCCCCCCAAGGGGGTACCGATTCCCCCCTTGTTCAACGGTCGAAATATTTGAATTTTACACTTAGGTAACCGATTCCCTATGAGAGGGAACCGATTCCCCCACTGTCCAAGCTGTTTTATTAAATGTTTTCACACTAAAACGGCTAAAATATCTTCTCTAATTATCCCCAACGTTCAGAAGTGATCCAAGGTGTATTTAAGCAAGCTTAGAAGCCATTGATCAACAACAAGAAACATCAAGCAACTAGAATCAAGAGAGAATCAAAGAGAAAGCATCAAACCTCAAGTTTGAGCATTTCAAGCCCATTTTCATTCAATATTCATTTTTCTTTCAAGAACACTTTTTGTGCTCAATTGTATTCATCTTTGAGTGTTTTTTTCTTTGTTCTAGAATTGTGCAAACATCTTACCTTGTGAGGTTTTCTTGTAAGTTTGCAAATTTGTAATCTTCTCTTTGAGAAAAGAGTGTTCTCAAGAGTTGGGGTATACTCTTGAGGGAATTGTAAGGTTATCTCTTTGGCCTCAAAAGAAAGAACAAATTAGTGAATTTGTTGGAAAATCCTTAGTGTGGATAGCTAAGGTAGTGGACGTAGACTTTGTTTGAGAAAGTCGAACCACTGTAAATCGCTGTGCAATTGCTTTCAATTTTCTGCAAAAGCTTCCACAAAATTTTTATTGCCAATTCACCCCCTCTTGGCCAATTTCGTCATTCGATTAACTCAACAATTGGCATCAGAGCCTAACTCATTTGAAGGTTTAATCGCCTCTTGAGTCGATCCGGGAAGAGTTACATCGATTACAAAGTCATCAATGGCCTCCACTTCAAACTTCGACTCCGGTCTCGATTCGATGCCCGTCAACAAGCCTCCTTTCTTCAATGGAGCTAACTATGCCTATTGGAAGAATAGAATGATGTACTTCATTCAAGCAAGTGACATGGGAGCATGGAATGCTGTAGAAGAAGGATACATCAAACCTCTCACTCATCCAAGGTTGTGGAGTGAAGGAGAGACAAAAATGTTCCAGCTCAACTCCAAAGCCATCCATATTATTTTTTGTGCTCTTGGACCAGATGAATACGGAAGAGTTTCATCGTGTACAACCGCCAAAGAAATATGGGACAAACTTCAAGTCACACATGAAGGTACAGATGAGGTAAAGAAATCAAAAATTAGTATTCTAACGCATAGCTATGAAAATTTCAGGATGAAACCAAATGAAGACATCAAAGCTATGACGGATAGATTTTCAACGATTGTCAATGGTCTCAAATCATATGAGAGATCATCTCAAATGAAAAGCTTGTGAGGAAGTTAGTCTACTCCCTCCCAAAATCATGGCAATCAAAGAAGACGGCAATCATCGAGTCTAAGGACCTATCGTCCTTAACTCTTGAAGAACTTATCAGTTCACTCCTCACTCATGAGATGATGCTTGAAGATGAGGTGGACCTTGATAAAGTTGAAGAGACACCAAAGGAGAAGGAGAAGAAGAAAAACATTGGAGTTGCTCTCAAATCCACAAAAGATGAGAGTGATTCAAATGATGATGATGACGAGGAAATGGCATTGTTTGCCAAACGGTTCAGAAAAATGATGAGACCTTACCAAGGAAGAAAATTCAAACGAAACGAAGGCCTCAAAAATGAACCAAAAGAGAATGACCCAATCATTTGCTATGAATGCAAAAAGCCGGGGCATGTCAAATATGATTGCCCACAATTGAAGAAAAAGGGTCAATCAAAGAATAAGCACAAGGCTCATGTGGCTACATGGAGCGATGAAGAAGGTTCCGATGAAGAGGAACAAGAAGTAGCAAACTTGTGCTTGATGGCATTCGGGGAAGATTCTAAGGTAACCTCTAACTCATCTGATTTTGATGATTATCTTATGATGAGTTATTTGAGGAGTACAATGGGTTGGCTTCGGATTATGAGAAATTGTTTTTAAAATATAAAAATGATGTTTCAAAATTGAAAAATGAAAACAAACTCATATCCAAAACCAACAACGATCTTGAAAGTAAAATCAAAAATTTGCAAATCAAACTAGAAGAGTTTGAAAAGAAAAATTTAGATTTGCAAAATTTACTTTCAAAGATCAATGATGATCATCAAAAGAAAATTGATGATCTTAAAACTTCTTTTGATAAAGTTGGAACAAAACATTTTGAAAAAGGTGAAAATTCAAAATCCAACTTTGTTAGAAAAAGTTTTAGAAACTACAATCATAGAGGTCCCCAAAGAACCTCAAATGGAAAAATCATTAGAAGTGTGTGGGTTCCTAAAGAACTCATTACTACTAAAGATAAAAATATCCTACACAAATGGATACCTAAAGAGACTAGGATTTTGGAAACTAATGAATATGGACCCAAAAGAATTTGGGTACCAAAAATCAAAAATTAATCTATGTTTGTAGGGAAAGGAGCATTGCTACAAGGCACGGGAAACAAATTCAAACTCATGGTACCTTGATAGTGGATGCTCAAGACATATGACCGGAGACAAAAGCCGGTTCATTGAGCTTAACGCCAAAAATGGAGGAGAAGTGACTTTTGGAGACAATTCAAAAGGTCACATTGAAGGTATTGGTACAATAGGTAATACCTCTTCCATACAAATTAAAAATGTTTTATATGTGAATGGATTAAAGCATAATCTATTGAGTATTAGTCAATTATGCGATAAAGGATTCAATGTCTTATTTGAAATTAATGGTTGTAAAGTCATTGACATTGCATCTAATCGGATTATGCTTGTTGGTCATAGAATAGGAAACATTTACATGGTGCATTTAGATTCTATTGATATGACTAATTTATGCCTAGTTGCTAAGGATGAGCATGATAGTTGGTTATGGCATAGGAGACTAGGTCATGCTAGTATGAGTGTTCTGCAACGGCTAATTCAAGGTGATTTAGTTCGAGGGTTGCCTAAGCTTAAATTTGATAATGATAAAATCTGTGATGCTTGTGCTAAAGGAAAACAAAAACGAGTTTCTTTTAAATCTATTAATGATGTATCAACTAGTAGAGTATTACAATTGATCCATTTAGATCTTTTTGGGCCAACTAGAACTACTAGCTTGGGAGGAAAACAATATGCATTTGTCTTGGTAGATGACTATTCTAGATACACTTGGGTTCTATTCTTAAGTACTAAAGATGAAGCATTAGAAAATTTCATCACATTTTCAAAAATAATCCAAAATGAAAAAGGATACTCTATCACTAGTGTTAGAAGTGATCATGGAACTGAATTTGAAAATCTTGGATTTATTGAGTTTTGTAATTCTAATGGTATTAGCCACAATTTTTCAGCACCTAGAACCCCTCAACAAAATGGAGTTGTTGAGAGGAAAAATCGAACTTTAGAAGAAATGGCTAGAACCATGCTTTGTGAAAATAATTTGCCAAAATATTTTTGGGCGGAAGCCACAAATACCGCTTGTTATGTTATAAATCGAGTAATGATTAGGCCAATTTTAAAGAAAACTCCATATGAAATTCTCAAAAATAAAAAGCCTAACATTAGCTATTTTCATCCTTTTGGATGTAAATGTTTTGTTTTAAACAACGGTAAAGAAAATCTTGGTAAATTTGATGCTAAAAGTGATGAAGGAATTTTTCTGGGTTATTCCTTAAACTCTAAAGCTTATCGTGTATTTAATAAAAGAACTTTAGTTGTAGAAGAGTCTATACATGTTGTTTTCGATGATAATCCCCTTCCGAGGAAGGATTCTTCTGTTAATGATGATGTAGGTATTGTACAAGCAAATGACGG